TTGCCGGCACGCCCGGTCATCCCGAGCGTCTGTGAGCAACCGGCTTCCGGCCTGTTCAGCCCCTCGCCCTCTGCAAGCGTGCCCCATGACTGCTCCTCGGGTCACCACGGTCCCATTCCAGCCGTTCGCATGTTTTTGGACCTATTTTCAGGCTCCTCGGCCCCTGTTTGCAATGCCATCCGCACATTGCTTCTTGCGCGTTTTGAGCCGGTGGATCTTCTCGCGGGGTCCGCTTTAGATATTTCTGACGATGCCACGTATTCCACACTCTGTCGGCTTTGTGCTTCCGGGCTTGTGGGTGCCTGTTGTGCCGCACCTCCATGCTCAGCTTTTTCACGCGCACGTCTCCTGAAATCCGGTCCTCCTCCGGTGCGCACACCGTCATTCCCATTGGGCCTGCCCAACTTGTCTCCGCAGCAGCAACGCGAGCTTCACATGTCTGCGCTCTTGCACCAACGCACACGTCACTTGCTGTCCCTCGTGGCCGCACGCGGGGGCTTGATATTTCTGGAAAATCCGGCCTCTAGCCTGCTCTGGCTCGACCCCCGAAGTCATGGCCTGGGTTCGTGCATTTGCCCCTTTCGGCGCTTCTGTTGCCTGCTGTACCACCGTCCTCTGTCTGCACAACGGTCCGCGGATGGCATGTTCTTGACTCGAGCGACGGCGTGCTACCCGCCCTCCCTGGCTAGTGCCATTGCATCCCTCTGCGTCCCGTTTGTGTCCATAGAAGACCGTGAATACACGCTGTCCACATGGGTCGCCCTTCTGCCGCCGCGCCTGCCCTGGCCGCCATATCCGTTTCCGGTGGAGGATGGGGCTGGCATGGGCAGCACTGCATGCCACACTCGTCCCCAGAGTGAAGACCACTTTAAGGCCTTACGCCACGCTTGGTCTGCCCGCCTTTTAAGTTCCGGTTTGGTTCCTAAGATAGTAACAGCACTATCTTCCGGGTCTAAGTCCGCGCCCCTTTCTGAAGCTGAGCTAGCCCCGTTCTTCCTTGATCTGCGTGAGTTTTTGCAAGTCCGCCAAGATGACACCTGGACCGCCTTGCTTTCCATAGACAAGGGCCAGCCCTTTCGGCTGTCTCTCTGGCATGCCCTTAGTCTTATCTTTAAGGATGCTGACGCCGGCTTGTTTCCTCACTTACACGCTGGCGTGCCGCTTGGTTTCTCTGACGCCATTCCGCCGTGCCCGCTCTTGCAAGCCTCACATGCCTCCCCCCCCGCTGACGCCGAGTTGTGCCACTGCGAATCCGCCTGGAAGTCAGCGCTTGACAATGCTGAAATTGTCGACAAACTGCTACAGGAAGAGCTGGACGCTGGCTGGATTTGCGAGATTACGGGGGGGGATGACGAGCTGAAGCGGTTGTACAAGCACTCCGCCGTCGGCAAGTTGGGGGTAGTCCTCTCTGAGGGCCGCCCGCCACGACTTGTCGTTGATAGCTCCATATCAGGAGTTACTAACGCCACGCACTTGCCCAATCGGTCCGCAAACCCCACACTGTTAGATGTCCGCCGCTGCCTTCCGATCTCTGATGCCCGTGAGCGCCTCGTGGCTCTGGTCCTGGATGTTAGCAAAGCACACCGCCGTATCAAGATTTTGCCCGCAGATCAAGGCCTTCTCTGCTTCCGCCATCGTGGCCGCCTATACCAGTGCAAAACTTTGAACTTCGGCGCACGCGCCTCCGGCTTTTACTGGGCCCGCGTCGCAGGTTTGCTGGTCCGCCTTGTTCACCGTTTTTGGTGGGTCAGTCATTCTGCCCTGATTTACGTGGACGACCTGCTTTCCATTCTCGAAAAATCCTCTGCCCCGCTGCTTGCTGCGCTGCTGGTCGTTTTGCTCCAAGTTCTAAATGTGCCGATGAGTTGGCGCAAAGCCAAACTGTCTGCCTCCGTTGTCTGGATAGGCTGGCAGATGGATTTTCGCACTTTCACAGTCCGGTTGGAGCCTGCCAAACTTCAGCGGTTGTTGTCTCTGCTCCGCCAATGCTACCGGTCTGCGAAGCTGCCCGCCACTACTTTGGAAAAGCTTACCGGCAAGCGCTTTGGCTTGCTAACCTTTTCCGGGCGTTTCGACCATCTTTGGCTCCCCTGTGCCAGGACCAATACTGCCCTCCACTTGTACATGTGCCCCTTTCTACGCAGGCTTGGCAGCGCCTGCAAGCGGCTCTTTCCAATGACCTCCGGGTTATTGCGCCGTCAGGTCTTGCCTCTGCCCCCCTGGGGAGCCGATTACTTCGGGTGGCTCAAACCGCCGTGCAATCCAAAGAGGAATTGCCACAGTTTCCTCCTTCCGCACGCCGGTTATGGGTCCAAATCTCCGATCTTGCGCACCCCGATCGTGTCATCTCGGACGCTTCACGTGCAGTCATGGAGATGTGGCTCCAGCTCTGCCGTTCCGGTACTGACTTCAGATCTCTCATGCTATCTCCGCACTTTAATTGTGAGGCCTTTGCTGACGCGTGTGCGAGCAGTTCTTCTGCAGGGTTGGGAGGGTTTGTTCGCCTGCCCTCTGGCCAAACTCTCTTCTTCCAGGCTAAGTTCTCACAGGCGGAACTCCACGCCCTATTTTCGTGGTTCCCTCCGGATCACTCACCTCAACACTACATTGCAGCCTGGGAACTTCTTGCTCAGTGCGCCTTGCTGCATCTTCTGGCCTGCTTGTTGCCTGCTGGACATCCGCCTCTGCATGTCACATTTCGCTGTGACAATTCCGCTACGGATGCCGCATCCTGGAAGGGTCTCTCCCTTGCGACAGGCATGTGCGGCCTACTGCGTTCCTTCTTCCTTCTGCAGGAGCGGCAGTACATATCCGTCCACATAGACCATGTCCCAGGGTTTCGAAATGACCTCGCTGATGGTTTGAGCCGCGGATATGATCCTCAGCTTTTGGGGTTCCCTGCTTCGGCGCGCTGCCAAATTCCCTGGTCTGCCCTGCCTTCATCCTTTGCCTGCCACACATACCCTTTGGAGCTAGACCTTTCCAGCTGGCTGGCGTCTGCTTGAAGAATGCTGGTCCTAGTCCCCCTGTCGGGTCAAGCGTGCCGCCTGAAATATTTGGTGCTCTCGACCAGCATTCTGTCCGCTTTTCCTGCCCGGGTGCTTCTGCCCGCAGGCTGACCAGCCGAAGCACCGCCAGGGGTTCTTCCGCCAGCGTGGAAAAGATGGGAGCGCGTGCGGTCCTTCCTTTTCGGGTCACACACTGGACATTCGTAACGGACTAGTGCGGGTAGTGAACGTGGATGTACTTGTACAAGTGTGTTTGCTGCCCGCACGCAACGGCATAGCATGTCCCGCCTGTTGACTCCCCTCCCGCCTGCTGCGCAGCTGCTGGCTCGACAGGCGGATATGCTACGCTAGTCCGTTCGGATTCAGTTTGAACTTCCGCCGCCTCCCCTCCAACCTGCCTCTGTCTTCCTTGCCGCACGAAGTTTCTTCGCTGCCTCCCTCCGGTCCGATTGGTCCAAAGTGTCCACTCGTGCCGGTGTCGGAAGGAACCTCTCTTCGCTGTAGCTCCGTAGACTTCTGGGGTACTGTACATTCCATCTGAGGTCTAATCATTTTTCACATCATGCTGGTGCTCTCGACCAGCATTCTGTCCGCTTTTCCTGCCCGGGTGCTTCTGCCCGCAGGCTGACCAGCCGAAGCACCGCCAGGGGTTCTTCCGCCAGCGTGGAAAAGATGGGAGCGCGTGCGGTCCTTCCTTTTCGGGTCACACACTGGACATTCGTAACGGACTAGTGCGGGCAGTGAACATAGTATGAATCATAGGAAGATATATAGACAATGTAGCTTTTTCTTAGGAAACCCGGAAACGACCCCCCCCCGGCACAGGGTCCTCGTTCGCGATTTGGAATGCGTGGCAGCCACGCGGAAGACCGAATTAACCGAGAGGGTCCTCGTTCACGACTTGGAATGCGCACGGCGCCTAGGCGAGAGCGACAAGGCCACGCGGAAACACCCAGAGGGCCGTCGTTCAGGAATTGGAATGCGCACGGGGCCTGAGCCAAAAGCCCCAGCCAAAAACAAAAAACTCCCAGAAAAGAACAAAAAATCCTTATTTAATTTCGCGCCCGATTTTCAAGCTCAACGTCAACACAAGCAAGTCCATCAAGACCTGCCTGTACAATTTTTGGCGCGGACCCCCCGTGCAGGCAAAACTTACCGCCTCGATTTGAAAACGTTTTGTCAAACAAGCCTTGCAAGCCTTGTACGGGGTTTATAAAGTCGCTAGTGGCAGGGTGACCGACCGCTTTCGTCATCTTGGCTGCTTAATGTTGGGTGATGTTTGATAGATTCCTTTGTGTAGTATCATTTGAGCTGTGCAATTGCATTTGAAGATTTTTTTTGGAACCTGTGAAGGATCAGACCTGCTGCAAGTGACAGCATCTGGAGCTTGCTGTGAGCAGGCCCGAATTGATAGCCCCATGCATGCTTTGACCAGGCCCGTATCCGGAACACAAACTACTGTAATTAATGCTTGCGGCTCCGTTTCGTTAACCACAACTTTCGTCGCGTTCCGCGTTCGCAAACTTGACCTGAGCACGTTTTCTGTCGCAGACAATTGTCGTTGCCGTTTTGGCGACTGCACGCATACGTGTCGCACATGTCTTCCGCTATTCCCAAGTTTTGATTATGCAAATGTCGGATCGTGCATGCAAGCATTCTGTTATGTGGGATACCACATGAGTTGTCGTGCTTATGTTGATGTAAGGATTTTCCAGTGGCAATTCGCCGTTGATGTGGCAACGCAGCATTGTGGTCTCAAGCTGTCAAGGTTCATGATAGCACAGCAAAAGCGTTTTCAGCACAACTGTGAATCTTAAGCCAACGTCGTAAAAAGCCCAAAGCTTGATTGTTAAAACACGGGTGGACTTTGATCTTGGCTCAACAACACATAGTATCACATGCAATGCAGTGAACATGCCATATTTGGCTATTGAGTCCTTTTTACACCCCATCTGCACGCTTTAATTCGTCGGCCTTCACCAAATGTGAAGCATGGCCTTGAATACTGTCCTCGGTCAAGCGCTCTCTAGAAACAAGGCCAGCAGCATCATGACGTGTTCAAGTACTTCATATTCAAAGCATCAGGCTCATGAGAAGGTGGACCTGTGGAAGGAGCGAGAGATTCAGGAGCCACAAAGCATTGTATGATTGCTCAGATGCACAAGGTACTCCCAACATCTGGTTTGCCTTTCCGTTATGCAGGATAAGGGTAGCCGATGTACCATTTCGCTGAAGAGCCGAAAAGGTGACGTTGTCTGCACCTTGGAAACGGCACAATGCGCCCACTCCTTGAAAGTATTGGTTATTGTCTCTGAGGTCCGCCAAGTTACAAAGGTACCAGAAGGTGCAGAGGCCAGTGAAATTCTTAACCTCGAGTTTGTCGTGGGTTGTCCAACAAGAGTCAGGTGACTAGCAATGTTGTCAACCAGTTTGAGATTGCGCAGACCCCAGACAGGAATTCGAGATCACTCTTGGCAGGCATTGCGTGTCATTGCATGATTTTGTTGGCCAAGGAGAGAGAAGAGAATGCTGCCAAAAAGGAGGAGCAAGCCGACCGTGTCGCGAACCTTCGTGTTGAAAAAGGACACGAAGCGTCGAACATGCAAATGCAGGATGAGCTGCTGGCAAGACTCGCCAACGGCAAGGCGCCAACTGATGCATCTCGGGAGCTAGACATGCTCCCTGTCTGCATCGCGAAATTCCAAAGTTGCAGGATCCAGCTTGGCGCCCCGACCAGTACCTCTCCCAACTCAAGGGGAAGGACTTGAAAAAAGGGGTTCGCAGCATGAAACTTTGTCCGTGGGTGGACACGCAGCTCATTGTGCTGAAGTTGTCTTTGCAGGGACCTTCGAAACTGAAGCTGAGACCGCAAGACTACTTGCGCATGGACCCTGAATTGTTGCAGAAGGCCTGTCGGTTGCCGAGCAGGTCTTGCAAACTTTTGCCTTTGCACGGATCATGCTTCATGCTTCGGCATGCTCGGTTGGCAGGTTGTTGCCGAGTACAAGGCTCAGAAGAAGGCTGCCAAGAAGAAGAAAAAGAAGAAGCACAAGAAGGAAAAAAGGGCAGTGAAAAAAGACAAAAAGAACAAAACACTTGCAAAGGCAAAGAAGCGGGACAAACGCTGCACAGACACAGGAGAAGGCATCGAGGACACGAGCCGCAAAGGAGTCAAGAACGAGCATCACGAAGTAAAACAAAAGCGAAGAAAGCGGATATTGCTCGATGACACTGGTCAGCCTACTGGCAAAGAGGAGCTCGAGGTGCTTGAGGCGCTGGTCTATGCTGGTCTCTGGATGTCTCTGTGCCTCTTTCCATGATGCGGTGCAGGTCAGAAGCAAGATAACTGTGAGTCGGAAGAAGCACATCGTGCACCCAGTGGATGAGGCACGATTCAAATGCAACGCGCGAAGACACATGCAGATCTTGCTTTCTGCGATCTGGCCAGGCCTCCGTGGCTGAAGCGAGGGCCTGCGAGATTGCATCGAAACTTCGCAAGCAGGCCTGTTGCTTCCATGTACATGCTTTGGTGCCTGCACTGGTGCTTTGTCCATAGTGGGCATTGCATAAGCATGAGATATTGAGAGATTTTCAGAAATATTCCAAGTCTAGGCAAGTCTACAGCCGACGCAGAAGTGCCAAGCCTCGCCGAGCACGGGATCGATCAGTGCCTCGCTAGTCTCGTTTGGACTGGTTTCAGCTTGCATAAAGCAGTGAAGCGTCTTTGGCCGCGATGAGGCAGCTCAGGGTCATCGAGCTCAGAAAATGAGATGGAAGAAGTTCTGACTGATGAGGAGCTGGAGGAGGACACAACATACACAACATTGTTTGCCTTACCAGGTGCTGCTCGCTTTAATGCTGATATGCCAAGATATGCCAAGTGCAGTGAAGCAACAGTGAAGCAACAGCCCGCCAGGACAGCATCACGGAGTGACTCAAGTCACTGCCTCCAAGCTCCCTTCGCGGATGCAAAAAAGGCGAATGCCGAAAGAGGGTTACGGTAACAACATTTCAAGATGCTTCAGAAATTTCAGAGGGTTTTTCGGAGTTGTTCTTCACATGATGTACGGTTGAATGACAGAGAAATCTCCTGGCATCGCATCCGAAGCGCACGCTTTGGTTCGAAGTTCAGCCCTAGCTTGGGCGGCTCCCCCCCCCTGCTGGGGGCTTGCGGGGGCTTTTGGGGGCTCTCGCTCTCGTGTGAGCTCCTCGTGTCAGATGCTATCTCAGATTCAAACTGCTCCCTGGCCGCACTGTGCCACCTGTGCCGCACTTCGAAGCTGAGAATAGCTTAGCTCTGGACAGCCTTTAGCACTTGCACTCGAACTTCCATCTTTTCTGCCAAGCTTGAAGGGTGAGGCCTTAGCCTGCGTTAGCATTGTCTTCAGCATGCGTCTGCATTAACATTCAAGGTGACAACAATATGACATATGTTTAGCGTATGTGTGTGTGGACACTGGCCTACACATCCTGGCAAGGCGTCACGGCCATGTTCATATTTTGCTGCAGGGGCCCGAGGACCTTCCACTGGTGGATCGACAGGAAAGTCGGGCGCTTTTTGTTTGACCAAAACAAGGTTTTACGTTTCAGGCCGGTTGGGGCATCGTTGTCCATGAGGGCTCCAAACAGGTTTTCAGGTCCGTGAGCGCTAGTGCATATGCATCCAACGGTTTGCTGCAGGAACCATGTCTGTGCAGTGTGCAGTTCTTCGTGTCAGTAATGTGACGGTTCATTGTGCAAAAGTCGCATCTCTGTGTGTCTGTGTGTCTGTGTGTCCGTGTGTCAGTGTGTCTGTGTGTCAGTGTGTCAGTGTGTCAGTGTGTCAGTGTGTCAGTGTGTCAGTGTGTCAGTGTGTCAGTGTGTCAGTGTGTCAGTGTGTCAGTGTGTCATTGTGTCACTGTGTCACTGTGTCACTGTGTCACTGTGTCACTGTGTCACTGTGTCACTGTGTCACTGTGTCACTGTGTCACTGTGTCACTGTGTCACTGTGTCACTGTGTCACTGTGTCACTGTGTGTGTGTGTTTTTGCGGTCCTTTCGGATCGGCTTTCGCGACCGAACTTTGCAAAGGCTTTTGGTGAAAGCCCGAAACGCCTAGGCCAGCTCATGAACGTGCCAGCATAGGTTGTCTTGCACTTTGCACGTAGCAACGGGACCTGCTATCCAGCTTCTTACTCTGGAGGCCGTCTCAGCGAGGCGCAGGACATGACCCGCCGCCAAGACGAGTGGGAGCGGGAAATTGAAACCCTGGACCAGAAGGCATGGCACAGATGTCAATCGCTTGAACGCTAGCAGTGACTTGTGTTTGCTCATCAGGAAATGGAGCTTCACCAATCACAGTTGCGGCTGATTCGCGAGCAGACGGCGATATTCATCCGAGACCTTGCTGCTCTGCAGGGGGAGGCCGGGGGAGGCGTCGTGGAGGCACATGGAGGCCATTCCTGCATCTCTGAGAATCTTTTTGCTGGAGAGGTGGCCGCGTTAAAGGAGGGATTGACCTCCAATGGCACGCCACTGACACCGCTGCAGAACGATTTCAAGGAGCAGAAGGCTGGGTCTAGCAGCTCAAAAATGACGCTGTTGAATGTACGTTGTGAGTATGCGCTGGGTATCTGTTTGAAACTGCCGAAGGCCAAGCTGCTGGCTCAAGAGCAACTGACTGTGTCGATTCAAAAGCGTGCCAATCTCAATTGACACGAGTCAATACCGAAAACCGCATTGTGCGGCTAATCGCCACAAGGTGTTGACTTCCTGGAGCGTTTGCTGGGCGAGTCTGTTGACCGTCATGCGCAAGAGATTGAGTCAGCAGGTGACTTACGGAGGGCTGGAGCTTCGGCTTTGCGGCTTTGGCTTTGGCTTTGGCTTTGGCCTTGAGTTTGGCTTTCTGGCTGAGTTCAAGGCCAAAACGGCACAGGCAAGGTTGGCCGGAGAGGCAAAAGCGCGAGAGGCTTCCGCCAGAGATTAGTGAGCGCAAGTGCTCGCGAGTGCACGTATATTTGAATTATATTTGCTTATCACGTGATCGGGGTCGAACAGGCACATCATGCCTCCGTGGCAGATAGGCTCGGCTACATTGAGCAACTGGTCCAGCCCCGAGTGTGCACAGCTGCTGGTTCAACCTTTAGCTTTTGTTGAGCTTAGGTTGGCGACTCCTTTGACAGGCATTCTAAGGAGATCCAGTCGTCGCATTCCCGCTTGGAAAGCTTGTTCGGGCCCCTTCCCGATCACGGAGAGCTGACTGTCGCAGCTGCATCTGAACTTTTCCCGAATGCTTTTCATGTCCTTGCAGCCTCTTTCATCCTTTTTCATTTAGGCACGCCCGCCTTGCAGCCTGTGAGTCGCAGGCGGGCAAGCACGCGTGCAAGTATCTGACCCTAGAAGGTTTCCGCAGAGCAGGTCCAGAATTTGCTCATAACGCTGTGCTCGATTGCTCTTTTGCGTGTCAACACCTGCTCCCAAACGTTCTGGACCGTTTTGGACCCATGAATATCAGATCGAAGTCAGGCATTAGACTGATTAGAATGGGTCAGCTTAGTTTTTTCTTGGTCTTGTCGAGGCTGGCCAGAATTCACTGCGCGAGCGTGTGGACTTCCTGGAGAAGCTGCTGGGAGAGTCTTCGCAGAAGCATGCCGAGGCCATGGGCTTCGCCATGGACTTCTCCGAGCCCTTTGCAAAGCCCCCCTCTGCTGCTTCTTGCGTTTTGTGGGTCACTGGGTAGGCGGCAACTGCGAACCAAGTGGCACATGAAGCCAATTTGGAGCGCCTGCAGCACCTTCACGGCAGCTTCCAGGACCAGATCTCCAGCAGGCGCATTTTTGTTGGAATACTGGCAGTGTGATTGAGTGCGATGCGACAATTTGAGGCAGAATTGCACGCTCCAAATTTCAGAGTATTCCTGAGTGACCTGGTTGTAGAGTGTCCAGTCTCTAGTAGCCAGGAACGAGCAGAAGTTGATAGTACTTGATGGGCTCGTCATGAAAGGGTGCACGTTGGAGCAGCCTATTGCTTCTGTTGACAGATCCCTTTGTATCGGACATGTTGACATAATCAATTCGGGCTCCAACCTTGTCAACATGTGGGAACGTCTGCTTGTCAGGATGGAGAAGCTACATGGAAGTATTCAAGAGAGGCTGGAGCGCTTGGAGCATCAGCTTCGCTCTGAGTGTTTGTGGTGTGCCTGGTGCCGTGGTGATGCTGGGCTCGCTTGCGTGAGAGCAACCAGCAGTAACTGGCAGCATCTGCGCAGAAGCGATGGGAACAACCAATTACCGAATCAATTACCTTGGCTCGGCAAAGGGACGGAGCAGTGGCCCCACACGCCACCGCGATCTCATTTGCATTCAGATCCTGGTCGCCAGATGTTCAGTCTGGTTGCACTGTACTTCGGGCGCAGCAACGGCTGTCATTCCGGCTTTGCTTCTGCCCACGTCGGTAGTCTGAACCCATTCACCCAGGCCCTTTTTTTCAAATGTTTCCGAACTCTTGTGAGAGAACCTCGCGCAGAGCAGCGAGCAGAGACCAAGACCCTGCTCTAAGTCTGCATATGGTCGCACTTGCCAGCTGATATACGTGGAAAGGCGAGGTCTTCAACCACAAGACCCCGTTGCGTGACCAGCTTGTGCACAACGGATATGACAACCAACGTCAACGGCAGCAGAGCGCAAATCCCACGGTCTCGTTCTGCAGCGCGACTGCGCAATTCCGCCTCTCCGTTTCTGCGCCTTACTCTCGGCGCGTTCCGTCATGTATTCAGGCTTCAACTTGGTCTTGTGCTGCTGATCTTCCACTCTCGTGCCCCCTCCTCCCGTTTTCCGGTCTTGCTTTCTCTTGCTCTCGCGCTCCTCCTCCTGCCTCCATGCCTCCCCCTCCCTGCCTCCCTGCCTGCCTCTCTGCCTCCCTGCCTTTTTGCCTTCCTGCCTTCCTGCCTCCCTGCCTCTCCCTGCGTCTCCCTGCCTCTCCCTGCCTCCGTGCCTCCCTTCCCCCTCCCTGCCTCGCTGCCTCCCTTCCCCCTCCCTGCCTCGCTGCTTCCCTACCTCCCCCCCACCGGCCTCCCTTCCTGGCCCCTGCCTCCCTCCCTCCCTCCCTCACTCGCTCGGCTCTCTCTCTCCCTCTCCCTCTCTCTCTGCTCTCTCTCCGTCTCTTTCTGTCTCTCCTGTCTATCTCTGTCTTCTCTGCTCTTCTCTCTCTCTGTCTCTCTCTGTCCTCTCTCTGTCTCTCTCTGTCCTCTCTGTCTCTCTCCTGGTCTCTCTCTGTCTCTCTCTGTCTCTCCTCTGGCTCTCCCTGTCTCTTTCTGTCTCATTCCCTCCTCTCCTCTGTCTCTCTGTCTCTCTCTGTCTCTCTCTGTCTCTCTCTGTCTCTCTCTGTCTCTCTCTGTCTCTCTCTGTCTGTCTCTCTCCGTTTCTCTCTCTCTCTCTCTTTCTCTCTCTATCTCTTTGTATCTCTTTCTCTCTCTCTTTCCTCTCTTTCTTTCTCTGTTTTTTTTCCTCACTCTTTCTTTCGCTTTATTTCTGTATTTCTTTCTTTCTTTATATATTTCTTTATTTCTGTATTTATTTCTCTCTTTCTCTCTTTCTCTCTTTCTCTCTTTCTCTCTTTCTCTCTTTCTCTCTTTCTCTCTTTCTCTC